TCGCCAACGAGCAGGTAAGCTCGCTAGATTGACGAGGTCGTGCCGGTCGGGCACGGCTGCGCCATGCGGCGGGCCGGGAGCCACAACATTCATGCAGTATTCTCTTATTGGTGCCCAAAACCAAGGAATGTTTTAGTTCTCTCTCAAACCTGATGCAAAAATGCACAATGTACTAATAAATACAATTAAGAGCATAATAATTAGGCTATTAGATGATGCTCTGATCACATGCCTAACAATTTTTTTTCTACACTTACCATTGCAGCAATTTTTCAAATCAGATTTAAAAATGCTAGATTTTACATCTTCTTCAGGAACTAGAGATCGAAACCTTACATGAAATTGCCATGTTGAGATGTTACCCAAGAACCCAAGAATGGCATTTGTTTATTTTATTTCTTTGCTTTGATAAATCTCCCTTGCACCATCAATTGTTCTAAACTTCTATAAATTGTTTATAGACTATATTATTACAGTGTACAACATTACAACAATAATACATTTACAGGTTGCAGTGAAGCTTTTTGTCTTTGCTGGAGGACTTGGTTATCACAGGTCATTCACCCAACCATCACAGGTCAAGTACACAATCTGCATCTGATGTACTAGTCACGTGCCCTATCCAGATTAACGATGTGGTCCTGACTCCCGACCCATTCTGTGTACACTAGGTATAAATGTACAAAGGCTTCTTGTATAATCCAGACCTTTTCCAGCTAGGCTTGGATGTTTGTTTAAGCAGTGCTGTCTGTAAATAAAGCTTGTTTGCTAGGGTTCTCAGACAACTTGCTTGGTTTCAAGTGTGCTTGCCATTATGGTAAGTGACACCATTAGTGCCATTAACACATTTCTAAATTACACAGACCAGCTGTTTAAACATTTATGGTGCCAGGGCTGTTCAATGTCTCAAAAAGGTTCTGCATTGCTCACGCCTTTTGAGCACAGATGTTTAGTCTACATCTGTTCCAAGTAATAACCTATGTCATTAAAATAAATGGATCAATCAGAGGCTCAATCATTTTCTGTTAATTACACCTGTGCTAATAAATAAGCCAATTGCAGTCTTGTAGAAATGACCTGGAAACTTGCTCTGTCTGCTCACGTATTTTACATTTTGCAAGTAATTGTACGAAAGAACCAAGTCCTTTAAACGCATATAAAACCAATATTTATAAGCTATTTATATCTGCAGCGTTCCCAAAAATAGCAAGTGTGAAAGTTCCTAATCCTTAGAGGGACACTGTAGTCACCAAAACAACTGTAGCTTAATGAAGCCGTTTTGGTATATAGATTATGCCCCTGCAGTCTCACTGCTCATTCCTATGCCATTGGGAGTTAAATTACTTTGTTTATTCAGCCTTATGCCCACCTCCCTGCATGTGACTTACACACCCTTTCTAAACACTTCCTGTAAACAGTCATCTAATGTTTAAACTTCCTTTATTGCAAATTCTGTTTAATTTATAATTTCTTATCTGCTGCTCTGCTAATAGTTTGCTAGACCCTGGAGGAGCTTCCTGTATGTAATTAAAATACAGACTCAAAGGAATTGGTGTTTAAAATGGAATGAGGCTAAAATGTGATTCTTTCTAAACTAATTTGCATATGCCCTCCCAGAATCCTTTGTGGTAGTAACATCACTGTAAATTTGTGATTTCTCTGGGAAAAGCAAGTCTTATGGCTTGACTGGTGTGCAGATTTTTGTTTAACATTATATTAACTAATTAAAATTCAATATAAAGACAGGAGATAAAAACTTTAAAAAGTAAGTTACATCTGATTAAAAGTGAAACCATTTTGTTTTCATGCAGGCTGTGTCAGTCACTGCCAGGGAAGGTGTGGCTAGGGCTTCATAAACAGAAACAAAAGTGATTTAACTCCTAAATGGCAGAACATTGAGCAGTGAATCTTCAGAGGCATAATCTATACACAAAAACTGCTTCATTAAGTTAAAATTGTTTTGGTGACTATAGTGTCCCTTTAAAAGATACATAAAAACATAGAGATTAACTTTAACTCCTAATTTGTTGCAATTAGTGAAAATGTTTGCGCCATCCTTTTCCTGGTATTGTAAAAAACTCAGAACTGTTGTAAATGACATTAGTAATTAGTTAAGTTGCAACTAAACTGGCAAAAGATTTTACTGCCATACTTGAACTATCATTTCAAGCTTTGGATTTTCAAAAGTCTGTGATTGCCGGACACAATGGTTCTCTATTAGAAGCATTTGAGGAGGAGTGAGTTTGAGAGTTAAAATTTTTTTTTTTTTTTTATTGAATACGAGGCCCGAAATCTAAACTAAACATTGGAGTGTTTGTTTAAAATTGTAATATAAAATATACTAATCAGGGGGGCGGAGCCTGACCAGGAAGCTGGCAAGATGTGTCTCACATGAGCTCGTGCTGCACGGGCAAAATATACGACGATTGTTCAGGCTGATGTGCTGGAAAACCCTAAATACGGAGCCCAACAGATAGGGGAAGCCTGCACGCACCTGTGGTTTCCAGACCAGACGCTCAGAGTCAGGTCAGGCCCCATGTGTAGTGGCGGAGCTGCCGCAGGTGCAGCTGCACCAGGGCCAGCACGCTGATAGGGCCCATACGGTGGCCCAAGCATTTAGGGCCACCCAATGGGCCCTATATCTTCAGGGGCCCGGTCAGCGCTGCGGGCGTGTAATAGCGTGACCGGGCCCCTTTAAAAAAGATGCAAGTACTGCTAGGAGGAAGTGACGGTCACTTCCTCCCAGCTCACTCCGCGCGGGAGGACAGGCAGCCAGGCAGTGAAGAGGGAGACCCAGACCACTGCCATCAGCCCCAGCCACCCTCCTACAATGAAAAGGTAAGAAACAGAAGGGTGGCTGAAAAAATGGGATACATGTGTGTGTGTCAATGTGTATGCATGTCAGTCTATCTGTCTGTATGTATGTATGTATGTCAGTCTACATGTATTTCAGCCTGTCTGTCCGGCATTTCTAAATATCCCTCGGAGTGAGAAAGGGAGTCTATGACATGTTAGATATATAGGGATTGATTGATAAATTGAGAATTGCCCCACATGATACTCCCCTATCCCCTATACATGAGTGTGGTGTATTGTTCTAACATATTTGCATTTACCTACTGCTCCACGCTTAACCTAGTGATGTCTCAGAGTCGTTCTCCTCTCGAGCATGCAAATAGCTCAATAATATCGCCTGAAGTTAGCTTGTTTATACTATAACATTGTGCATGTTAGCTCGATTGTAATGCATGATGATAAGCCTGATGATTGCTGTTGGGGCACCACAGGCATGTCTGTAATACTCTTATGCACTGCAAAAATACAAAATAAATCAGAATCTATGTTTTATCTTATAAGTTTATTTTGACATAAAATTCCACTAGGCTTGTTGGGAAGAGCAGAAAAATTAAGAAACCACTGTGGTACTCCACAGAAGTGGCCAAAATAGTAAAAAACTGATCTATAAATGGGTCATTTGGTACCTGTGAGTTTACAGAGGAAGAGGTTCTATTTCAACTGTCAAGAGTAAAGACAAATAAGTCGCTGGGGCTTGATGGGATACACCCAAAGTTATTAAAAGAACTTAGTGGTGTACTAGTAAAACCATTTACAGATTTATTTAGCCAATCATTATTAACAGGAGTATTCCCAGAAGATTGGAAATTAGCAAATGTTGTACCCATTCACAGGAAAGGTAATAGGGAGGAGTCGGGCAGCTATAGGCCAGTAAGCATTAATTCAGTAGTGGCAATCAGCATCTTTGCTGCTACTAGAATATGTGTAACAATCCTTGAGGCAGGGCCAAAATATTTTGAATATATAATTGTAATAAAATTGATCTAGGTTCAAAGATAAACTTTTTAGACAGTAAAGTTTGAATTTTTGTGTGAATCATTTTCCAAAATAATTGAATGGGTTGACATTCCCACCATATATGGAGGAAATCTCCCCTGTATGTTAAACATCTCCAACATCTGTCTGAGGCGTTGGGATACATTCTAGACAGCTTACTTGGGACATTTGTTTAAAAGCTTGTAATGTATCTCCATCAGATTTAAACAATTGATAACTTTATTAACTGTTTTCAGTGATTCTCTCCAATCTTCACAAGTGATATCAATTTTTAATTCTTGCTGCCATTTTTTTATCACTGGTAAAATCAGTTTATTAATGTCACCCTTAATTAAATCCATACAACCTGTAATTCATTTATTCATTTTCATACCTTTTATCATTTTTCCTAGTTTAATATGTTTGGATTAACCCTTCATTCTAATACAGTATTTAGCAGAGTGAAATCCCGAATCTTATCGTTATCCAGTAATCTTTCAATTCTATTGAGGCCAGCCTTTATCCATTTTGAGATGTTTAAGTTCGCAACATTATACATTAATTGAGATAATGGGAGGCCTGAGATAATTCTATCTTGGAGGTGACAGATCCCTCTAAGTTTTTCCCATGTGTTCAAAAGAGTATTAAATACTATACTCTTTGATTAAATAGCTATACGGTATTTTTTTTCTTCTTTGTCCCTAGTCCGCCAAAATATTTATCTCAACTCTTTAGTAACATCACTAGTTTTTGTCAAACCCATTTCTATTTTATACCAGATTTCCTCTTTAACATTATCAAACTGAGTATAAATAATATGTTGCTGTATAAATAATATGTTGCTGTATCTCTCGTGCAGAGAGAACTTGCTGGCATTTCGGATCTGGACTGCCCGTATGGGTGAGACCAGTCTGATATGACCAGTCTGATATGCTTCAGATATGTTCTCTCTGTAATGGCACAAGATGAGCTAAAACCAGAGTTCTGAGCGGGGACCTACCGAAGGGCAGGCTATTTTAGCTGCTGTCTGTTCTCAGAATACTCTTAGGAACCCATTTTTGCTCTCCATTATAAATAATATGTGTTTACATGCATGCTTTCCAATAGTCTTTTAACAAGGGTAACCCCAGTCCACCTTGGCTGACTTTCAGTGCTAAATGACTGGCACTAATACGTGGATGTTTACCCAACCATATAAATGTATTGAATATAGATTGCACCAAACTCAACCAACTATCTGGACAGGCTACAGGTAACATACGAAATAGGTATATCCATTTTGGTAGAATATATGATTTTACGATGTGTATTCTTCCTCACCACGAAACTTCCCAAGATTTCCACTCTTTACATTTTTTACTAGTATATTTAAGTAGAGACATAAAGTTACTCTCCATAAGATTAAGAGGGTTTCTCGTTATTTGAATTCCAAGATATATAAAATTAGAAGATGAGCAATCTAACCCAAACTTATCATATAGTGACCTTCTTAACTCAAGCGGTATATTAGCTGACATAGCGGTCGATTTATTTATATTCAATTTGTACCCAGATAGTAGTGAAAACTCAATAATCCTCATAAATCGGTCCATAGAAGACAATGGATCACACATGGTCAGTACCACATCATCGGCATACATAGTGAGCTTTACACTTTCTGTTAAAACAGGGAATCCTATAATCTGCTTGTCTTCTCTAATTGCCATAGCCAAAGGTTCAATAACCATTAGGTAGAGAAGGGGGGAGAGTGGACAACCCTGTCTGGTTCTGTTCTTCAGTTGGAACCATTCTGATGAAAAACCCTCACCCATTACTCTCGCTGTGGTAAAAGAGTATAGGGCCATTATAGATTTAATTATATTGCCAGCAAGACCAAATGCCTTTAAGACCTTCCCCAGGTAATCCCACCTGACTCTGTCGAAGGCTTTCTCAGCATCTAACGACAGAGTCAGGAGAGAGACCCGGTCCTGGTGGGCCTTATCCAAAATGTCTATGATTCTTCTGACATTATAGACAGATCTACTTTTTATGAAGCCCACCTGATCATTATGTATTATGGACGGAATAATATTACCTAATGTTTCTGCCAAAATGGATGAAAATATTTTTATGTCAACATTCAAAAGGGAGATAGGTCTATAATTTCCTATAATCTCTGGATTTTTATCCTGTTTAGGAATGGATATAATGTGCACTTTTAACATTTCCCTCTGTATCTCTCCTGTTTGTGTAATTTGATTAAATGTCCTCGTAAGAGCCTCTTTAATATTATATGTTAGGGACGAATAAAAGAGAGTACTAAACCCATCAGGTCCTGGTGATTTATTAGTTTTAAGTTTTCTTATAGCTGTTTCTACTTCATCTGTACTAATTTCTTCATTGAGTTTACCCAATTGCACTTCCGATACTCTAGGGAAGTTATATTTATTCAGAAAACCGGCTATATCTATAGCGGGTTGTCTCTCCGGCAGATTGTATAGCTCCGTGTAGAATTTCTGAAACGCCTCATCTATTTTCTCTGGATTAAGCAGGATATTGTTGCCCTGCATTATCTTAACTTTAACTTAACTATTTTTTTTTCTCTGTTGTTTTTTAATCTTCTGAACAATAATTTATCGGCTTTGTTCCCCTAATAATACCATGTCCTTTTAAATTGATCAAGAGAATAATTTGCTTTTTTAATTTAAGACACTATTAATTTTGTCCCTCACTTCCTTAACTTTGTCAGCCCTTTCCTTTGACGGTGCACTCCTATTTTCCTTCTCTAGACGATCCAAATCTATATAGTTCTGCTAGATTCAACTTATTCTGTATTTTTTCCTGAGCACCCAATTTGATTAGATGACCCCTTATGGTGCATTTATAAGCACACCATATCATTGGGAACGAAATCGCTGACGAATATTTTTCTTTGATTATTCGTAAATCTCTGTGACTTCTTTAATCAGATCTAGATTTAGTTTATTTTGTATAATGCATTCATTTAATCTCCAATTTGATCTTGTTGTCGAGAATTTATCATTAATAACCATAATAACTGCATTATGATCTGACCATGGAATCGCAATTATCGGAATTTTTCTAATCCTCTTTGTTGTATCTCTTTCAGCTAAAATATAGTCTATTCTAGAGTATACATTGTATACACTAGAAAAATAAGAGTAATCTCTCTCTTGAGGATGCCATACTCGCCATTAATTTAACAAGATTATTATTCTTCACAATTTCTTTAAACCGTTTTATTATTTGATTATTCGTACTATTAATCTTAAACTTATTCCTGTCTATATTAGGATCCATTAAACAGTTAAAATCACCCAGATATGTAATTCTACCTTGCTTTATTCTCTCTGCCCTAGACACAATCCTCTGTATAAACCCAATTGGAGAGTGATTTGGGGCATATAGGTTTACTATTGTATAAATTTGATTGTTTATTTCACATATTAAAATATGGTACCTGCCCTCGATGTCTGAATCTTGATGAATCAACTTAAAGGCTAACCTACTGGATATTAAAGTAGCAACACCTCTTTTTTTATTACTTGGTAGAGATGATTTGAACACATGGGGAAATTCTTTAGATCTAATTCACTCCTTGTATGTGGCTAGCCAATATGTTTCCTGGATGCCACAAATGTGCACAGTTTCTTTTTTTTAGAAAATCCAACAAAATAATTCTCTTTTGTGGCGAATTCATCCCCTTAATGTGTAATGAAACAAACGTAATCATGTTAAACCGTTATGGTCACATCCCTTCACCCTCACTCCCTCTGCAGAGACTAACCCAAGATTACTCAATACAAAATTACTCACAAACATTCAATACACAAAATCCCCCCCAATTAGGCCGAAGGAAATAAATTCTCCTCCACTAGATAAAGCGCCATATAATGAGGCTTTAATCTGTCTATACAATAAGCCGCTTCCAGCGGTGATGATGCAGTACATTCAGATAAAAAAAATTTTTTTTAAAGTCATTACTTTTTAGTGATAAGTACTCAGCATTTCATAGTTATAGTTACCGAATTTGTTCTTTAAGCAGTTATCACTCATTAGCACACAGATCTTCTTTACAAGGGGGCTATTTCTTATCTTATATAGCCCTATAGCAGTGAAATATATTTGTATACTTCAGATTTTATTTTCCCACCTTAACAGGTATAACAACCTTTATTTAATACATATTTCTCACAATTATTTAAGAGATTGGAATTATCCTCCCAGGGGACATTGTCTAATATTCATTATAAAAAATACAAGATTTAGATATTTAAGGTACATAAAAGTGATTGCTCCCTATAAACTGGACATGCAATTTATAAGTATGAATATACAATTCCCAAAAAAATAAATAATAATTTGTAACCCCAAAGATTGTTTAGTTTTGTTTTCAACATACCTCCCTTTCTAACCCATATCAGAAAATCTAGAGGGAAGACTAGTGAAAAAATTTACTTAAAAAAAACTAACATTTTATAAATCACTGTGTCGTATTTAATGCTCGTGCACTAACCTTTAATAATGCCTACTCCTCCTAACCTAAATAATAAATGTGTCATTTTTACTCTTCGTGCATTTTAACATTTAATAGTACACCCTCCTCCAGCCCTGAGGAGGTGTTACAGGAATAGTATTCCTTTTTCTAAGTGAGAATATTTAAGTGACTTTATTACCATCTTGATAAGTGTAGTTGCGTTCTTTTTTTTATTATTTATTATTATTCTTTATTTATTCCAAAGCAGTACATTACATTGAAAACATAATGCATCATAACATTGCAATATATTGTTACATTGTGCATGACAGTATTCTATCATATTTTCAATAACAGTAGGCCAACACTCCTTTCAAACCGTTACTTAAACATTGTAACATGGAGTGCGCCTATCATACAGTACATCGCTGTTTCCCTGTCCGCCCCGGTGAATTTTTAATTTATAAGGAAAAGTATAATAAACATAAAGAGGCTGAGGTTACCATACAAACATTTCTTTTATCGATAGGATATGCCCTACCCGTTCCTATGCGGTCATGTACGGATCCTGTAGATCCTTTTCGTGAGCTCATTCGAATTTCTATCCGTTTGCTCCTGTTATCACCTGTCCACATCCTTTAGTGATGCAAATTATTTACATATTGTATGGAAATGTTAGATCAGTTGTGAGGAGTTCTCACAGAAAAAAGCAAGAAAAAAGGAAAAGAGGAGTAAGGGGGGTAAGTATGAAGATAGGAAGTGGGAGTATGGGAAGGGGGAATGGGAGGGGAGCGCGGGGGAATCCAGGCCAACCTACATCTATCCGATCCAAGCCCGTCCAAGGGAGTCTCTCATGTGTGTCCATCAAGCACTTGCTGCACTGGCTACGCAAGGGCCCCAAATTTTTTCAAACTTTTTCGTTGTACCCCTAACCGGGGCTGTTAGGTCATCCATCAGATAATTATCTTTAATTTTCCAAATCACAGCAGTGATTTCTGGGGCCTCTCTTTGCAGCCATACCTGTGCCAAAGCTCTCCTAGCGGCTAGGTTCACCTTATGTAATAGGGTCAGTTCTGTTTTTGTTCAGTTTTCTATAGATCTGGCTAGTAAGAATACCCATGGGTCTAGCTTAACCTTCCTCTCAAATATTTCTCGCAACAACTGCGCAATTTGTTGCCAATAAACTTGTGTAATTGGGCATTCCCACCACATGTGAATGTATGTGCCCTTGAAGCCTCACCCCCGCCAGCATAGGTCTGTAGAAATTTGGTTCATATGGCCCAACTTTACCGGTGTAGCATACCATCGAAATAGCGTCTTATATGATTGTTCCTGCAACGAGACACACATATAGGACTGCACGGCTGCCTCCCATATTTCTTGCCATTCCACTCCCTCCAACGTCTCTCCTAATTCTGCCTCCCAGTGGTCTATGCATGTAATTCCTCCCCATTCTAATGTGTTGTTGCACAAATGTGAGTATAGAAGTGTAGACGTCTCTAATCTGGAGATATCTAAAAAAGTCAAAGGGTCGCAGAGGAGTTCTAGTTTGCAGGTCCTCAAACGTCACAAACGACCACCCTCGAACAACTGGTGTAATCTTTGCAACGCTGCGTGTTTTATGCCTCTGAAATCCCGGGCTGTCATTCCTGGTAGGAATGCTTTGTTCCTCAACAAAGGGGTCATTGGAGAAGGGGAGGACACCAAGCCATACTTAGTAGCGGCTACATCCCATTTCTTCAGTGAATTGAAAATTGCAGGACAGGTCACGCTGATGTTTGGTCTGTGCTCCCTAGGGGTCCACATAAAGAACTGAGGCATATCCATCCCCATAAGAGATGCTTCCAGGTCCACCCATCTCCTTTCCTCCGGTGGAGAGTGCCACAGCGCCACCTGGGCCAGCTGGGCTGCCTCATAATAAAAATATAGGTGCGAAAGGCCCAGGCCACCCCTGTCTCTAGCCCGGTAAAGAATGTTGCGTGAGACCCTATGCTTCTTATTCTGCCATATAAATTTGCCAATGGTTTGTTGGAGCGGTCCCAAGTCAGATCTGGTCACTCTGATCGGGAGTGCCTGAAACAAAAACAATATTCGATGTAGCACATAAATTTTTACGGAATGAATCCTCCCTATCCAAGAAATTACTTTTTCTGTCCAGCTCTCCATGTCCGTCATCAATGTCCTAATCAGCGGGGTATACTTCTGTTGGAATAATTTAGATGGGTCTGCCGTCAGTCGTATGCCTAGGTATTTAATGTAGTCTCTTGTTATTCGTAATTGATAGGGCTTCCCTATGTAGGTTACGTCCATCCCTGACATATCTATGGGTAGTACGCTGGACTTGTCCATATTTACCTTATATCCGGCCAGTTCTCCAAATTTCTTCAAGACATCTGTTAGCGCCGCCATGGATTCCCTTGGTTCTGTCAGAGTCAGTAAGACGTCATCTGCGAATCCTGACTTCTACCCCTTTAATGTCTGGGGCTGCACGTATGGCCTGAAGGAGTGGTTCCAATGAAAGAGCGAACA